GGCTGTGCTCTACGTCTACCACAGTCGGCTGCTCCGGCACCGGCCCTACCTGGCCCTGCAGCAGGTGAGGAGCAGCCCCGGCTGGCCGGCAGGTACCCGGCAGCTGGTGGCTGCACCCCGGCCCGTCTCCAGTCTTGGAAAGGCCCCTGGAGTAGTGCTTGATGCTCCTGAGTGTTGTGCAAAAAGTGTTTTGTAGCAGATGCACTTTTGTTCTCTTGAAGCCTCCTCACAGTTGAGTTCAGGGGTTTCCAGGCTCTGTGCAGCTAAAGCATTTTCCACTTTTCAGCCTTACGGAACCAGTACTAGGCCTCTTATGCTTGTGCTAAGACCTGAAGTAGTTAAAATTACATACCTTTGACTAGATGAGTGATACAGGGGTTTGGTTTTCAATTAATTGTTATAATGGGAGAGGGGAAGAATAATTCTAGGCTACTGTATTATGTACTTTCTGTTGTAAGATGAAAAGTGAATTCCTTACCAGTTTTCCAGTAAAGGGATTGTCAGTATCTTCAAATGACTGTTTTGAAATAGAACAGGAATTGTTTTTACCTTCTTGAGTTGTTTATGCATTTTCATTCTTTAAAGCCAATACCAAAGGCTACCGTATATGTTAGGAGAAACCATGCAGCACCAGATAACCACAGCCTACTCCAGCCCTTCATTTAATTCCATATTTGCAGTAGTGTGATTAAGGGACCTCTTTCTAGATACTAGTGCAGACAGAAGAACATACCAGAATGTTCCATCACCCAAACCTGCTAATAAACTGGTAAGGGGAAGGTATCACTTAATATAGTGACAGTTCTTAGACCAAGACACTCCTGTGTCTCAAAACACCTGTCAAAGGAGTTTTCTTTTTTCTAGGTAGACCAATGCTTGAAGCGCCTATGGAAAATGAACTTGGTGGGCTGCATTGAAACTCTGGCAGGACTGATTCCCAAGTAAGTGTCACGGTCCTGTACTGTTGATTAACTCAGTCTGCAGAGCTAAAGTGGAAAAGTGTAATATCATAATCATCTCCTCATCCTTATATCAATACAGGAAAAATACACCCCAAGCCCATGTGGAGTGCTTAGTTCCCAGCCAGCCTATGCTGGAAACCGTTGCTCTGAAGGTGCTGGGAGGTTGCAAGCTCATACTGCGTCTGCTGAACTGCTGCTGTAAAGCTTTTCTGTATCCTTTTTTCCACCATGAAAACATTCTTACAGTTCACTAGCAGCACTTCATAAGACCAAAACCAGGTCTGCTGTAGGCCCTGTATTGCTGATGGACTCAACTGTGCAATTCATACATGCAACTTGAAGTTTCTTTGATAGCCAAACATCTTACTTTCAAGTTATTGTGTAGAAACCTTGGGCTGTTGGCTGGCTGCTGTTCTGGGCTTGAGCAAACCAAAGTTGGGAGACTCATCTCCCAAATTATCCAGGATGTTGCCTTGTGAATTGCCCCTAGTTGCTGTGATCAGCAAGTCTCATTACATGCTGTTATTTTTTATCCTTAACTGGCGTAATCTTCAGCTTGTCTGTTAAACATCTCTGCTCACAAGAATTCATACTTTTGAACACTGTGGCTTCGGGGTTATTGAGCCGGCTACGGTTTGTGTATTCAAAAGTCTGTCTTGTTTGTTGTCTGTTTGATGTGCCTGTCAGGGAGAAGGGCTTATAATTAGGCCTTGCTGCTGAGTAAGCTTGATTCAGTTGGGAGGAGGGGGGATGCTTCATCCTTTTGGACTTGATTCTAGCACCTGAAGAGTTGTAGAAGTGGAGACTTCTGACATGCTGTTTTGGAAGGCTTTGTTCTTGGTTCACAGCAAACTCTGTAGCACTGATAAAACCACAGTGTTAATGCCAGCCTGCCACAAACACTAACATCTGTTACTCTGTAGCAAGCAGTAAGCCCTCCCTCATGCTGAAATGGAAAGGCTGTGATAAAGTTGTTCTACAAAACTGCTGAGTTTTCCAGCAAAGTTACTGTTCTGGTCTCAGTACAGCAGAGCAACACAAAGAAAAATAACTGCTGCCTGTAGCTGAAGGAGTAGCAGCATCGTGTAGCACTCAGTAAAACATCCTTTGGCACAAGGAATCTGTCTTCCCAGTAAACATAGAGCTGTACATTGGAATTGGTGCTAGCACCATTGTCCTGAGTTGGTACAAGTTGCCTCTGGAGCAAGACCTCTTGTCAAATTACTTGGATGTCACCTGGGGACCTGCTGAGTCCCAGGTGTGGCACTCCACAGAGTTCTAGGGAAGCAGAGAGGACCCTGATCAGGGATTTACTAGTCAGTTCACTCCTCTGCTCTGATCTTGAATAGTTCCCTAAAGCTCAGACTAATATTAAGGAAAGCATGGTGATGGAATGTAAAAAGATAAGCTTGTATTGAGGGGAAATAGGGAAAGGGCAGCTTGGAATCTCTTCCACTTGAGCTGAAGGTAGCTGTTCAGTAAGCACAAGGTTTTGCTAGAGGAGACTCTATACCTTTCTGTCTTCTCTCTTCAGGATTCAGTACAGGTGCGTATTGCAGAGCCTAATTTCCTTGTACGGCACGTTGTTCACATCACTTCACCTGATATCTGAGACCCAACAGATGCCGTATATCAAGGGGTTCACCTTTCCTTCTGACATCAGTAACTTCCTTGGAGTTAATGTTTCTTCTGAGGTGAAGAAGCAGAAGGCTAGAATGCGCACAACAAAAAAACCTACCAGCTGGCTGAAGAGGCTCTTCCCAACAATGCCAGAGGCTGTGTCAGAGGTGGGGGAAAAGAGGAATTTTGCAACCTGCATGAGTGCTGTGAAAAACAGTAGCATCCCATGCCCCATGGACATTGGAGAAACAATTCTGGTGACAAGAGCTAGCAGAGGTAAAGCTGTGCCACAGTGCTGGTGGTTTCTGACATCTCTGAGCCTGACTGCAACTTCTGTCCAACACCACCAAGCACTTCTACTACCCGCAGAGTGTGGTTCTAGTACAAGTGCCCCTCTCCTGTCCTTGGAAGGGGAAAATGCTGCATGTACTCCTGCCTTTATAAAGCTGTGGAGAATGTTAGTATTGTGAGATTTTTTTTTTTGTTTGTTTTTCAAACATGATACAACCTGGAGAGAAGCAGGTAATGAATGAGGTATCCAAGTCCTGCAAAGAGTCCTTTGTATTTTCCTGCCTCTGTATAGATGGGGCCTGAGGATAGGGAGGGAAGCTAAAAGCAATGACTGCAGTCCATACATGAGTAGGTAAGGTTGTAAGTACTGGATGCAGGTATTCTGTGCATGCTGGCTCTGGGCTGTGCCCAAGTCTTCCCCTGCAGTCAGGGCTATGGCCAGTGACTGCAGGCATCTGGGTGTTTACATGAAGCATTTACCCATGAGGTTCTCTTTTGCAGCCACCTGTAAATTTCTGTATCCTCTTCATCCCTTGCCAGTGCAAGATGAGCATGGCCCCCTGAGTTTGCCTGGAAATGCTGAGTACAGATGTGAGCATGCTGAGACAGCAGGAGACCTGAGAGCTCAGCAGGGCAAAGCGTTGCAGTGTCTCTGTGTAAAGACTTCACAGAATCACAGAACGTTAGGGA